TTAGGGTGTAGGGTTTAGGGTATAGACTTTAGGGTGTAGAGTTTAGAGTTTAGGGTGTAGGGTTTAGGGTTTAGACTTTAGGGTGTAGGGTATAGAGTTTAGGGTGTAGGGTTTAGGGATTAGACTTTAGGGTGTAGGGTTTAGAGTTTAGGGTGTAGGGTTTAGGGTTTAGACTGTAGGGTGTAGGGTTCAGGGTTTAGGGTTTAGGGCTGAGGGTTTAGGGCTTAGGGGTTTAGGGTTTAGGGTTTAGGGTTTAGACTTTAGGGTGCAGGGCTTAGGGTTTAGGGTTTAGGGAGTAGGGCTTAGGGTTTAGACTTTAGGGTGTAGGGTTTAGGGTTTAGGGCTGAGGGTTTAGGGCTTAGGGCTTAGGGGTTTAGGGTTTAGGGTTTAGGGTTTAGACTTTAGGGTGTAGGGCTTAGGGTTTAGGGTTTAGGGAGTAGGGCTTAGGGGTTTCGGGTTTAGGGCTTAGGGCTTAGGGTTCAGGGTTTAGGGTTTAGGGTTTCGGGGTTTTCTTTCTGGGTTTAGGGATTACGGCTTGTGGGTTTGTTAGGGTATATAAGGACTCCAACACGGATATCGGGTTTTTGTCTAGGGAAGATTCGCGGAAGTTAAACATCCATGATGCGACTCGGAAGCTCTACCGCACCCTAGCTTCGTATTGAAAGCATGCATCACTGAGCAGCTTTGCGAAAACCATGGCGCGTGCAAGGTCGCAAAAGGCGAGCCGACGGTGATCATTTTTCTGCTGCGCATGGTCGTCGAATCGGAAGCAACCCATGCCGACAAGCGTTGGGATTTTCTGCGTCTTGCTCAGCTGTCATGAGAAGTCTTCTTCCCGCAGCTGGGAAAATCATCGTGAATTCGGAATGCATGTTTCGGCCTTAGGCCTACTTAGGGATCAGGAGACTTTGTCAGCAGGTTCTAGGTGAAAATAATGTATACAACTAGGAAATCCAGCGGACACAATGCTGTGCGGCCGTATGTGTGGAGTCATCGAGGGGTCCAGACAACGAGCGGTCGCAGTTGGGCTCAGATTCAGTACAAGTACCATGCTCATACCATTGAAACGCTCCTTGCCCAACCATCGATCGGATGCATGCTTGCCCCAAGTGATTCCACAATCGGCAAACTGCTCAATGAAGCTGACGGAAAATGCACACTCAAGTTGTGTCCTGTACACCTTCTGTAAGGCTCTGCCATCTCCGCTGCAGTCCAAATCTAATCGAAAAGCAGCCGGCCGACACTGCAAGCGAGGACACCCTTCGGCACTCCGACGGGTCCAGCTATGTTGAGCTTAGTACCATGCCCGTACTATTGAAACCATCACCGCATGCCCGAACCCAGCCATCGCTACTCATCCTCGCTTGCCCCGGCACATTCCAAGCTCTGGAAAGTACACTAACAAAACAATGAAGCTGTGCCCTCACGCTTTCGGGAGGGTTCTGACATCTCCACTGCATGAAAAATTAAACACGTCAAATCGAAAAGCAGCTGGTCGATTGTGCAAGCAAAGACACCCTTCGGCACTCTGACGAGTCTCCCTCCAGGCCCAGCTGCAGAAAGCGTGGGATGGACAGCCCACGCGCAAAGTCCGCCACGGTCCACTTCCGGCAATTGCAGAGATCCAGTCTGGCGCCGGCCGCGATCAGGGCCGCGGCGCCGTCGAACTGAGCCGACCGGATGGTCTGCATCAGCGGCGTGCTGCCATGCAAGTGATAGGCGATCGTCCCTATTGTACTGGTACGGCCGCGACTTTGTTGCCAGGACTTGACCGCAAGGAGCAGCCGGCCCAGTCTGCTCCAGTCCCGCGGCAAGTCCAACTGGAAGTCAACGTCAGCCCGGAGATCAATCAATCGCTGCACCAGCTCAGCCGAGCCGCCTCGAAACATTGTGGCGTCGAAGAGTGCCCGAGAAAGATCCATGGAGCTTGGGCGTCCCTGCACTAGCAACTCTTCCAGGGCTTCTGCGGATGCAATAGCAGCTGCCGTCGCGAACGTGGGGTTTCCAAGTAGATTTTGCGACATCGGCACGGCACCCATCGCACACACCAGTCGGATACCTTCCGCATTGTCTCCGCCAGTTGCATGCATCACAGCCGGTGAAACTCCACCAACAAGGTGGGCTCTCGCTGCGAGGAGCAAGCGCGTGGCCTCGTGGTGCCGGTAGAACAGTGACAGGTCCAGCGCCGACATCCAAGGCGGAAAGCCCAGCATCGGCTCATCCTTCCACGTGCGCCAGTTCACTTGGGCTCGCTGTTCCAGCAGGCCTTTCAGCACCTCTACATTGCCGCTTAGGGCTGCGTAGTGCAGAGGCCGCCACCCGGCACCGTCTACCTCATTGACCCTCCTCAATCCGTTTTGGTGTAGGAACTCCGCCACCACATCATCACCACCCTCACAACTGGGTAGCAGGCCGGCCACTGGCGCTGTGTCAAGGCCGCGCAAGTACATCATCCGGAGGTTGAAATGGCGTCGAAATCCGGGCAGGTCGCCCACACGGAGGCAGTGGTTCAGCTTCTGCATGAGGATCTTCCGCATCACCGGGGCCAGCTTCTGCCGATCCTCCACGACCCCGAACTCGCCTTCCCCAACCCATCCACTGGGAAAGGACATCAGTGTGCCAACAGTTTCAATGGAAGTCTCGCTTCGAATAAGAATCCAAGTACTGCTTGGCGACAGCTCGCGTGCTGCTCGTTCTAGGCGACACCACCCTCTGCTGCTCCAGGTCGCTGCTGTCAGCACCCTGCTCTCGGCGGGGCAGTCGAGAACCGGACAAAGCCCAAGGAAAAAGTCGCACCTGGCTACGTATGCTGGGATGCTGGTGATGGCGTCCGCTTGCTGGATGCGGCTGTCCATTCTTTGCACGACAACTTCATCCGGTGTCAGATGGTGTAGCTGCGGACACGAGAAATAGTCGTACCAGAAGAACAGTGCCTTCGTCTGAAAGTCTTTCACGGGACGGGGCTTGGCCGTTGGCACCACAGCTTCTGTGCCGGGGTCCAAGGAAATAGACCCGGAGCTGGTCAGGATCCGCTTTACGGCATCCTGCAGAGTGCGCAACTGCTGAAAGTCTGGATCCGGGTGTTTCTTCGTTAGCCACTGGTGTGAAACGAAAGCCGCTCTCCCCAAGTCGTCGCTGAAGTCCACGAGTTGACCCCAGGCCTCGAGGCAGATTGGATGAAGGCCCTACAAAAACCCGGAAAAGTTCTGCCCGTCCAGCAAATAAAAGCTCGAAGGCAGTGTTCTAGCCGCGGACAGAAGGCGAGGAGTCTAGGACTTGCGATTTAGGCACGCGGATATCTTCTGCAAGTTCCTGTTCCTCGTCACTGGGGTTCCCACTGTGTGCTAGCACGAAGCCACAACCGGCCACACCTGCTCCTTGACTAGACTCTCAATTTATCTCAATTTCGAATTTGCCTCCGGCCTTCAATTTCTCGTGCGGCTCGACCTGCGTCATCTTCAAGAGCACGTCTGCGGCCACGGTGTACATGGGGAAGAGCATCGGGGCAGCCTGAGCCATCCCATGCTGGCAAGTGGCCACCATCCATCGCCATACGACCAACTGATGATGATTGTAGCGATGGTCGACACAATACAACACTTCTGGAAGAGTGATAGCAATGATGATACTGGACTGCGACTACCACGACCACAGCGGCGATGGAGGCAACAGTCACGGCGACAGGTGGCGATGTTCATGGCGACGACGACGACGACGACGACGACTCCGACGACGACGAGAGCATCACACATTGAGCTACATCCTGTATTCTCAAAGACAGAGAAAAGCTGCCGGTTTGGACAGTTTTGAGTTGGGGCAGTAATCAGCACGCTTCTTTTGCAAATAAGCCTTATAGATCGTAAAAATAAATTCCCGCCCCTGACACCATGCCCAGTGGCGTCGGCGTCGTCGGGCAGCGACTGAGCATAGATCTCGAGAGGTGTCCGGGACTTCCCGGAGACGCAGCAAGCCATGGCATGCGAGTGGCAACGCAAGAGGATGCTCCAATGGTCGTGAAAAGCCACAAGCCCAGAATCCTGAATACTCCAAAGGTGAAGCGAGCCAAGTCGGCAGAAAAAAACTGCTTGCCAGGTTTAATTAAAGGACTTCTTCAAGAGGCTCTAAACACAAACACTTTAATGCGGGATGGCTTGGAGTACCCCTAACTGAAATTTATACCCCCTTGACTTCTGGGCCTCCAAGTAAACGATCTACTGTGAAAACCTTCAACCCTGAAGCATTTACAAATCAGGACACCCCATGCCCCAAAACCCAAAGCCTTAAACCTTAAACCCCTGGCCCCTAAACCCTAAACCCTGCCTGGAGCTCTGAACCCATGTGAGGCCGGCCGGGGAGCAAACATGATGTCGCCCTGAGATCTGTTGCCTTTAGGGTTGAAGCTTTAGGTGACCACGGCTAAGAGTTTAGAGCTTAGGGTTTAAAGTTTAGGGCTTAGGGTTTGGAACTATTAAGCTAGGATTTAACGTCTTGGGTTTAGAACTTTTAAGTTAGGATTTAGAGTTTAGGGTTTAGAGTGATCGGTGGCGTGACCTGGGGATTTGGGGTTGTAGAGCTGAAGGCCCAAGCCCTTCAGGGCTTTAGGGTGTTCAGCGTTTCGAAGCTTGAGGGTTCAGGACTTGATCTTAAATCCCGCAAGGTTTGGGTTTTGGGTTGGTTTTAGGGTTCAGGGTTTTGGAACGAATGTCGGGTTGTGGAGTTTCGTTCTCTCATCTTACTTTTTTAGCCCAAGACGTCTACGGTCAAACACATTTCGCCTAGATG